AATAGGCAATTTTGAATGCGTCACGTTTCACGCTATTTTGCCAATCTTGACTAGGTGAAACCAATTTAACATTTTCACTGTCACCGGAAATGACGTCATTTCGGCATAAACTGTATTTTTAGCCTTAAAATACATATTTTATTCAAAAGAGTCTGATTTGTAATGTTTTTAAAATTATGATATTTTGTTCCCATCAACAAATAGAATGAACCCATACGATCATACAAATACCACAAAAACGTTTCTAACTTGTACGGTTGCAGATTTTCCACAAGTCTGTAAAATTGTCAGTTATTATTCGATTTTCATAAACTTTTCACCATATGTCTTATGACATTTATGATTTAATAGAATTAATTTAGCATTTTCAGTATCGCCGGAAGAAATAACCCCATTTGCGCAAAAACTGTATTTTTAATCTTCAAAACAGATATTTTATTCAAATGAGTCTGATTTGTAATGTTTTTAAAATTATGACATTTGATTCCAATCAACAAATAGATTGAACCCATACGATCATACAGATACCAAAAGATGGGTTCTAACTTGTACGGTTGCAGAGAAATAGACGATTTTCTACAAGTCACTTTTCAAGGTTTTTGGTCTATAAAAGTCTTAGTGGCAATTATTATTCGATTTACATAAAATTTTCACCATGTGATGCCTTATGCCATTTCTGATTTCATAAAACTAATTGAACATTTTCATTATCACCGGAAGTATTGTACGCTTACATGTAACAAATGTATAAAATGAATTGATATTGCTGGATTTGGTTGATTCGGCGTCCATTTTATTTGTGTGCAATGCTTATGTGGAAACATGTTTAATGGTTTCATTGGTACCGGAAGTGACATGTTTAGGGTAACGTGGCACCGGTGAAACCCGTCATTACTGCATCGCGGTTCTAGTGATGATTGTTTTTACCAAAAAATCAATCATCCAACACGTTGGCCGTTTTATTTTCCACTTGAGTATATCTCAGAAAGTACTTGTCGGATCAATCCGATATCTTTGGTTTTTCAGGAAAGATGGCATGACTAAGCGATTAAATCTAATTTCCAACATTCGGCGACAATGCGAAATGTGCGAAATCAACGAAGTTGTTTTTTTCTAAATATAGCCGTAATATTAACAATAATTGCCGGATTTTAACATTTGATACATTTTGACATAGCCAGAGACTAGGCACATAGCTACGGGTCTTTAGATTTTTCATTTTCGATGAATCTTCGAAGATATTAAGCGCCAAATTTAAATTTTTACAAAATCTTTTTTTATTAATGAATATTTCTTTAGAATAATTTATCCAGGGCTAAATGGTCATCTGATTTGAGCAAAAATGTGAACAATTTTTGTCTCAGTAATTTGCGTTAGCCGTCATTGGCTAATTCAGTTTTTCGGTCCTAGATTGATTATTTATTGTTCGATTTGTTTAAAACAAAAGTTCATATCATTCTTTTTCCAAAATATCATTTTTTTTGTTACGGATAGTTACCTGTCGGCATCGAAAGTGACATAATTTTAACAAAAACTATAATTTTGACAGTTCGGTACCACTTTTTGAAAGCAAATATTATTTTTTCAAATTTTGATATTACCAAAAGGATGCGCCATGCAAATGTGCACAAAACATCGGACTCGGTTTTCTTAATTTCGATTTCGTTTTCGGGCTATTTCGATTAAAAGGTGAAAGACGGTGTAAAATTAAGCTATTTACAACCCATTCAGCGTCTTCATATTATAAAATATTTCTTCGTAACTTTCATAAACTCGTAGCAATAGTCCATACAAAGAGAATGTATGTGAAAATTAGTTTGTAATATGAGCGGTTGCCGAGAAATAGGCAATTTTTGCATGCGTCATGTTTTAAATTATTTTGCCTGTAAAAGAGTCAAGTATCATTCTATTTTCAATTTGTTTTTACAATTTGTTTTTACCATTTGATGCCTTATGCCAATTTAGACTAGGTCAAGCCAATTCAACATTTTTCTATCACCGGAAATGACGTCATTTGGTCAAAAACTGTATTTTTAGCCTTCAAATCAGATATTTTATTCAAATGAATCTGATCTGTAATGTTTTTAAAATTATGATATTTGATTCCAATCAACAAATAGAATGAACCCAAACGATCATACAGATACCATAAAAATGTTTCTAACTTGTACGGTTGCAGAGAAATAGACGATTTTCTTCAAGTCACTTTTCAAGGTTTTTGGTCTATGAAAGTGTAAATTATTATTCGATTTTCATACAATTTTCACCATGTGATGCCTTATGCCATGATTTCATAGAACTAATTTAACATTTTCATTATCACCGGAAGTAATGTCATTTGGACAAAAACTGTATTTTGAGCTTTCAAAACAAATATTTGTTTGAAGTGAGTTATATTTATTATTGGTTTAGCATTATGATATTTGATTCCAATTGACATAAAGATTGGATCAATATGATCATATAGATGTCCAAAAATGGCTTCTAGCATCTTCCCTTGTTGAGAAATAACCAATTTTGTCAGAATGACTTTTACAGATTTTTTTTCCCATTTTAATTTCCCATTATAAAGTTAGCTAACTTATCGATAATTAGTAACAAAATTTGTCAGGATCACTTTTTTGACATATGTAACACATGGTAACAAATGTATAGATGCAATTGATATTGCTAGATTTGGTTGATTCTGCATCTATTTGTGCAATGCTTATGTGGAAGTCTGTTTAACGGTTTCATTGGTACTGGAAGTGACATAAGTTCAAGGATAACGTGGCACCGGGAGTGACATAAGTTCAAGGGTAACGTGGCACCGGCGAAACCCGTCATTACTGCTTCGCAGTTCTAGTTCTTATTATTATTATTATTCAAATTCAATTTTGATTAGATCTCAGCAACTGCTTGTCGCATCGTTTCGATTTTTTCGGTTTTACTGGGAAAGTGGGTGTGACTTAGAGGATAAAGCTATTTTGAACGTTCTGCGACAATGCGAAATGTCCGAAATCACCGAAGCTATCGATTTAAAAATTATTGCAGTAATTTTAAAAATAATCGTTGGATTTTAACTTTCGATACATTTTGGCATAGTCGGAGACGGGGCACATAGCTACGCTACTTTTGATTTTTGATTTTCGGCAAATCTTCGCAGATATTAGGCGCCAAATTTAGAAAATTAAAATTTTTACAAAACTTTTTTATTTATGAATATTTTTTAGTCGTGTTTTACACAAATATAACGAGTCCTCTGACTTGATAAAAAATGTGAAAAATTTTTGTCTCGGTAATTTTCCTTGGTCCCCATTGGCTAATTCAGTTTTTCAGTCCTAGATTAATTATTTATTGTTCGATTTGTATAAAACAAAGTTCATATGCTCCGTTGTCTCAATTGTCATTTTTTTTTGTTACCAATAGTGTTATCTGTCGGCACCGGAAATGGCGTAATTTTACAAAAAACTACAATTTTAGGTACCATTTTTCGAAAGCAAATATTATTTTTTTCAAATCTGGTATAACTGAAATTGTGCGCCCTTTAAAGACCAGTTTTTTTAATTTCGATTCCGTTTTCGGGCTATTTCGATTAAAAGGTGAAAAAAGGTGTAAAATTAAGCTATTTACAACCCATCCAGCGTTTTCATATTTTAAAATATTACTTCGTAACTTTCATAAACTCGTAGCAATAATCTATACAAAGAGAATGTATGTGAAAATTAATTTGTAATATGCGCAGTTGCCGAGAAATGGCCAATTTTGCACGAGTCACTCTTTACGCTATTGTGCCTGTAAAAGAGTCAATTATTATTGGATTTTCATAAAAGTGGCGCCATTTGATGCATAATGTCAATTGTGACTAGTTCAACTCAATTTAACATTTTCAATGTCGCCGGAAATGACGTAATTTGGGCAAAAACTGTATTTAAAGCCTTCGAAACAAATAATTTATTCAAATGAGTTGTATTTGTTATTTGTTTAAAATTGATATTTGATTCCAATCAACAAATAGAATGAACTCGTACGATCATACAGATATCACAAAATGGTTTCTAACTTGTACGGTTGCAGGAAAAAAAAGCGGATTTTCTACAAGTCACTTTTAAAGGTTTTTGGTCTATATAAAAGTGGCAATTATTATTCGATTTACATAAAATTTTTACCATGTGATGATGCCTTTTCTGATTTCATAAAACTAATTTAACATTTTTCATTATCACCGGAAGTAATGTAATTTTGTCAGGATCACTTACATGTAAGAAATGTATAACATAATTGATTGCTGGATATGGTTGATTCTGCGTCCATTTTATTTCATGTATGCAATGCTTATGTGGAAACCTGTTTAACGGTTTCATTGGTACCGGAAGTGAAATACGTTCAAGGGTAACGTGGCACCGGAAGTGACATACGTTCAAGGGTAACGTGGCACCGGTGAAACCAGTCATTACTGCATCGCAGTTCTAGTTTAACTTCAATTTGGCATCGAGCATGATTAAATATGCCTCCAAATGAGCACGACCAAACAAAACCAAAATAAATGTATGACATCAAAATATACACACTATAATATATCTATTTATTCCATGATATTTCAGTATGTTATATACAAGATTAGGCCGTAGCGCCGCTATCCGGCCAAAATTTCCCTCATAGCACACTGTATGGCCGATGCCCGTCTTCATTGGGCCAGTCGGTGCAGAACAGTAGGACGTTAAACCCCATTTCATTTATATTATATATATATGATAATCATGGACGTAAATCTGTAATTTACATGAAGCAAGAAAAGAAAGAATAAAAGAAATACAGTACCGTGGCCACATTCAATAAAATTTATCTTTATCAAATCTTTATACCGTTTTTAGCGTACTGATTTATGTGAAAAGGAAAACATTGAATGGCATAATTTATTTTGTGAGAAAGCAAACCAAAGATAGAAATTCCGTAAAACTTTGAGTTGCATTAAAAAGTTTTATGACCCCGGGCCAACATTTTAAAAGACAACTACTTACCATATATGACCAGTAAAAGAAGCACTAAAGTCTTCGGCAAGCTAACTGAAACCAAATCCGTTCGCATAGCAAGTACCAGGTTTCACCTAAATTAGACCCAAAACTTATACTTCAATGTAGCTACTGAGCTACGTTAAAAACTTTCTGTGTTCCTTTCTACTGGATATGTTACACGGCTAGGAAACGGCAACTCGGAGACTTACGATCGTTTGACATCTTTACTCGGTTTCTCGACCTATATTAATAGCGTGTAAAACATAAGTGATTCATACCTGTAGCAGTTCCACTCAACATCGTTGATTTTACAAGATTAGCGTAACGCCTGAATCACTCATGATCTCCCCAAGTTTTATCCATAAACCAAAACAGACACGTATATAAACAATAGTAATGGAAAAGAGGAAGTATACACAGCTGAGTCGGGCGTAAAAAAATCCTTAGCGCTTTTACCTGGAATCTTTTTTTTTTTTTAAAAATCAGCATCGATTGAAATCTCAATTTAAATTGGCTGTCCATTGTTTGATTGTAGCACAATTGCATTTCATTTAACTCTTCAACTAAGGTAACATCAGCTAATTTACGTAAATCCATTTCTGTCAAGCTATCGAACATAACTTAGGCCCGCTTTCTATTGAAGCCCAACCAACTTTTTATTAGTTCTTAATTGTTAGTTCTTAGTTAGTTCTTAATTCATAGTCCTTCATTCTTATTTCTTCATTGTATATTAAAATTAATATTTTTATACTAAAATTAATTGTTTTACAAATCGATATTTGTTTTACAAATCAGACATTTGTCATATCAGTTTTGTAAATTGTATCTTTGTTTTAATTTAATTGAATTTTAATATAATAAAATTTCTTTTAGAAACTCAAAAAAATACATTTATATTTCATCAGAAACATACAACGAAAAAAAAAAAATCTCGAACAAATTTCTAAATACAAATCGCCAAATACCAATCTTGCATTACAAATGTCAAAAACATTTCTCCAGATTCATCTAACCATAACTTCATGACAACAGAGTACGCTACTGGTGGGCTGTAGAACGGCCATAGCAACCGATAAAACAGTAGCTGCGCTATACGGTTAGTTGATAATATACATTTTTCCTTGTAATTTAAAGCTTATATATATATATAATAATTTACTCTTTATATAATAATTTTAAACAATGTACTTATAATGATGTAAATAATTTCGTAGGTAAGATGCATTATACTAAAATAGTTTCTGAAAGGCGAATATGTAAGAAAAGCCTTTGTCCTAATTTTTCTAGCTGTTTAAATTATAGAAGTTAATTGTATTATATTTCGAGCTTAATTTCTGTTTCATGCAACTAATTACTGTAAACACAACAGGGGCCCACTTCCACGCGTGGAAAGTCTACTTTTGATTTCTAATCTATAATCTGTATCAAAGTTGTACACATACGCTAACGCCCTCTGGTGTAGTTGATAATTCATTATATTTTTCTGGACATTTTCATTTCAAGATTTTAACTTCAAGACTTTTTGAAACGTAGAAAATATTTTCATAAAGAGTTCAAATTCCAGATTTTTTTTAGATACTTTAAGAAACCAATGAATTGATATCTTTGTCGTGTAAAATTAAAAAAATATTTTTTAATTTTAATATTTAATGATATATAAAAGTTACCGATAAAACGCCGAAAATGAAACATAAAGTCAATTTTTTGTTTAAAATATTTCTTTTTGCATGAAATGTTGACATAAGAATGTAGAAACAAGAATCATTAGTTTAGAATGTTGCGTTCATGTCTAAAATATTCAAACTGTAATGTAGAAACAAGAATCATGAATATTGTCCCATTTGGTCTTCCATAAAAAGCCGAAGGGTCAACGGTTGGGATTTATAGACGGAAAAACAATAAGTTCTATGAGATACGTTATTAAATGAAGAAAATATCACATGTTCAACAATATACAGACAAATCGTAATATACGTACATGGATGTAATTTATGCAATGGGATTCCCGATTCTCATTAGGCTACCCTGCAAAATGGACTCTTCGATTCGAGGCAAACTTACCGCGTGGAAAAAATCAGAACGTGAGGCTTAAATTGAGAGAAATTAACTCATTTAAAATAATTATTTACAACAGAAGAATTGGAAATTGAAAACATTCCATTTGCGTTTGCACCGAGTGACTGATACTGGAAATTGTACGAAGTGTTAGAGTTACAAGGAATTGGCAAAGATGCGTGGGAATGGGATACTATTGTGTGTGGTGTAGACTTTGGGTTAGGCCCATAACCTTGCAAAATATTTGAATACTCGTGTTTCTGTTTAGAACTAGAATCATAATTATCCGAACTTATACTTTGTTCATTTTTATGCCCGGTCAGTTTACAAATTTCACGTGCTTCCACTCCAGCATAGGACAATAAATTTATAGCTGTTGACCTCACACAGTGGTTCGTATATATGGCTGGGGCTATTTGCCACGTGTGGTAAGACAATCCGGAGACTATTTGCCACATGTGACAAGTCTCCGTACCGCAATTATCAACCGATTTCAATGAAACTTACAGATAACGATAACATTAAGAATATCTCGGAGTAGCCAAAATTTCGACCAGTTCCGGTTAGCGGTTTCGGAGATACCAGGTTACCACACATTTCATGTGGCACGGCTACAGACCACAATTATCAATCGATAACCGTGAAACTTACAGAATATGATAACATTAATAATATCTCAGAGTAGCCAAATTTTGACGACTTCCGGTTAGAGGTTTCCGAGATATCGGGTTACCACACATTTCATGTGGAACGGCTACAGACCACAATTATTAACCGATTTCAATGAAACTTGCAGATTATAATAACTTTAATTATATCACAGAGAAGGCAAAGTTTCGGCCACTTCCGGATTAGCGGTTTCCGAGATTTTCTATATTAGTCAGAATAGCGCAGTGACATATGAGCCAGCCTGACGTCTTTTAGAGCAGGTTGTCCAGTCTACGTCTGAAGTTGAAAACGGATATTTTCATGTTTAAAGTTAAGTTTATTACGGTTTTATTATCAACAATCTTTTTTCTTACGTTTAAACAATTTAACACCCCACCTTGTGTTTTATTAGTTGCTTTGGACTTGATAAATATGTAGGGAGTCTAATGAAGTTACGATCTTTGTTATCAACATAGTTTTTGAGTATTTACATTATGATCAAAATCTAAAATTATGCTGAGTCATATCAGTGCATGAATAGGCCTATTTCTTAAATCAAGTGTCATGTTACCATGGTAAAATTAGGAGGTCCTTTTCCCTAATACAACTAAGAAAATTTGATTAACTGATATTTACATTTTTTTTAAAACAATGTATATTGTTGTTTCAGAAATGTTCTACAACATTACCTGGTGTGGGTGGTGATGTATCCATTAGTTCAGGAAAGATTTCATCAAAAGAACCAAGATTAAAGTTCCCAAGCACGGGTGGTGATGTATCCATTAGTTCAGGAAAGATTTCATCAAAAGAACCAAGATTAAAGTTCCCAAGCACAAAGTCAAAAGCCATTTTTTTGAATCGGTTGCAGCAACAGAAATAGTTCGCGAAACTAATACGCGGTTATTCGCCTTGCTAAAACAGAGGGGGTTTATTGTCCATCCGACCAATCAGAATCGGGGAAATTTCAGATTTGTGCTACAATGATTATTTGAATAATTAATCACATAGAAAATCAATTATGAACATTAGGATATGATAGAATATTGAATTAGCCTACCTCAAATACCTCGAAATTTATTGTTTGATCTCCAGTTTGCCCGCTAAAACCATACGTCCTTCGGCAAATAAAAGATTATTGTATAGTTGTTTAGGGTTTTAACCGAAACGAAAAATATTAATGCTAAATTTGCATTACAAATAGGCAACATTGGATTAAATATAACAAACCTCATATTCTTGTTTTCTCTGCATACTTCGTTGAAAAAAAATATCTGTTGGGGTTGGTTCTAACAATGCCACTACATAATTAATCGATACACCACAACGCTTAAAAACACGGGTGACTTATCAGCTCGATTCCACGGTGAAATCGCCAAATCCTGTCATAAATATTTCTAACTTTTTTTAGAGTAATTTTTTTTGAATAGTTCTTTTACAGGTAAGCAATAAATTTGCAAGTTCGATTAATAAACCAATATTAAAACCAAAATATCAGACTATTTTAGTTTTCACATATTCCAAGAATTGTCTTTGATGTATCAAGTTTATTGGGCCAATATAATTAACCTCTAATAAGTGCAGACATTGTAATAACCCAAATGTGTCTGTGTATTGTCTGGGACAAGATTTGAAAATAAACAAAGGATATAATCAGAATAATCTAATTAACATTGCGGACACCCAACATTGCGATATCTACTTAACGTGTGTGATAATCAATATAAGGTTTTAGACAAATACAAATATTCTAGAAATCAAGTTTCTCAATAACAATATTGATTGCTTAAAAAAAAAATAACATTATTACAGATAATAAAGTAACATAATAAATGTTATCTTAAAATTGGACGTAATTATATGAAAAACAAACAAGATTTTGTAAATCTAAACAAGTTTGTGTTACGACATTGAAAAGAACACAAACTGTCTGGCAATTGTCTGAATAATTGGTACTCACACCCTTCCTGTGAAGAACAGCATGTTATTTTCAGGATGTGAATTAAGCCCTTTATTACTTTTCTTAAACTTGTCGACTCCCGAATTCAGACTTTGTATGGAGTTTTTTTTTTTTTAAAAAAAGAAAACAAATCGTGGACGGTACACATTACTTGTGATAATATGACAAAACACACAAGATTTTATAAATCGACACAAGTTTGTTAATGCAATGCAAAACAACACATAACTTTTGTAGATTAGTTTTAACACAAGTACTTGTGTTGAGATCCAACACAAGTGTTTTTTCAGTGTACTAGTGCTGGGTAACACGTTCGCCTGGCCATCTCGGCATCGTTTTGAGAATTCATTCTCGGTTCATGCAAAATTATAAACTATACGTTCCTTAACTAAACAAAGTATACATTGTCAACAATATAAATGCAACATTATTTGCATGCTATGTATTCAGATTCAGCTGTTTAAGTAAAGGGAGATAATAATACTCAATAATATTAGACAATGTATTATGTATGGTACATTTCCA